TTAAATATTTGTGGGCCTCCTGCTCTTAAAATACTTAATATCACTGGATCTAATTCTTGGAATACCTGTTTAGCATTCTTCAGATGGATTGTAAAATGTTAGTTAAGTAATATTTCTAAGGGTACAAGGTTAAGACTGAAAATTCCAATTTCTAGTACTGTTTCTCTAAGATAAGGGACAACTAATACAGTCTTCGTCTTGTAAGAAGCTAGAGTCAGATGTTAAAGTAAAGTTTACATTAATCCTGAGGAAAATTATCAGTACCTTCCTCTTTCCCTGGTATTCAAATAGCTCTTAAGTTGACAGTGGGGTGGAGCACAGCAATAAATTAGGGGTAAGTGACATTCTCTAGTAAAAGGAACCAGGTTCCTTGGGAAAATGGCTAATTATAGGACTGAGGCAAAAAAATATTCAAGATGAACCAGGAATATCCTGTAGTGCCAGCTAGTGAGGAAGTGCTCAAAAAACAAAAAGAAAGAAACAAAAAAAGTGAGGCAAGTTAAAGAGAAATAAAAGCCAACCTGGAAAAACTTACTATCAGACAATGTGGGCAGCCAAATAAATAAGGTAGTATTAGATGTATGACCCACAGTGTAAAACAGTCATAAATTCACAATTGAACAATTAAATATAAAAAATGAAATGCTAAAATATTACTATGAAATAGCACGATTAAAAACTTTTAAACATTACTAGGCAGTTAAAAATCTTTTTGAAATACTGTTCAAAGAAAATATATTTGTGAACCAAATTGAGTTGCAGTCTTCTATTTGCTTTGGGTTCATTTTTCAAGATTATATAGGATCATTCAAAATTTTCATGGCAACTGTAAACCTGAGTGAGTCACTCAGTCGTGTCCATCTTTGCAACCCCATGGACGATACAGGAATTCTCCAGGCCAGAATACTGGAGTGGGCAGCCGTTCCCTTCTCCAGGGGATCTTCCCAACCCAGGGATTGAACCCAGGTCTCCCGCATTGTGGGCGGATTCTTTACCAGCTGAGCCACCAGGGTAACCCTGAAATTTGATGTTAATCTTTGGGGAATAGTAAGCTTGTTAAGATGTGAAAAAAGAAGATAAGAAAAATGGACTTAAAATCCCGTACACTCCTTGCCAAGGAGCTACACTATTTTCTCATATAGATTTGACCCCATTCCTCAAAACCAACCTGCTTTTCCAAGGTCCTTCTGATCAAAATGGATCCTATAGTAGTATCTAGCCTCATAAAGGAATGGAGAAAGTCCCTCACCTTTGATAGGAAAAGACTGACAAGATACATTGTTAGGTGAAATGCAAAGTAGAGAACAATATCTAACATAATACTTTTTGTGTTAAAATAGAGAAAAACAGAGATATATTTTACAGTTGCTTGTATAAGCATGAAGTAAATCTGTAACGTTACATAAAAAATTAAGAACAACTGTGAACGTATAGAGTGGAAACTGGGCAGATGGGACAGTCTGAAAAGGAGGCTTTTGTTTTATATATATATATATATATATATACACACCTTTTTCTTCAGGTAGACTATCACCTTTCTGACAAATGAAATTTAAAATATATTCTATTTTAATCACAAATCCAAAGTTTAAAAAAATGTGTTTTGTCGGTTCATGTCCTGGAAGAGTCCGAGGACAAGGGTAAGACATGGCTGGAGGAATCAGAACTTTCTTGTTTTTGTTCTCTTTCAGTTCTCAGCTCCTGGGTGTTGGCTGTATTCTCGCTTGCAATAGATGTCTGACCCTCAAGGTTAACGAAAAATGGCCACAAGATGAGTCATAGGCTTGTATTATTCTGAGAGCTTGCCAAAGAGGAAGAGAAAACATCTTACCTTCTCTGACAGAAAAGTCTAGAACATCTTGGTTACATATCCTTCTTGATCCCTGAACCGGTCCTTGTGGTCAGGATATAGAATACTCCAACTGCCCAGGCCCAGGTCACATGGGAAGGTGAGGATGCTCTCATTTGCACCACATAGGAAGGGGAGGAATATTCACCCAATGTTGTGATAATGGGCAAAGCCAGAGTGTGTGTATGCTCAGTTGTGTCTGATTGCAAAGGATTTTGCAATCCTTTGGACTGAAGCCTGCCAGGTGCCTCTGTCCTTGGGATTTTTCAAGCAAGAATACTGGAGTGGGTTGCCATTTCCTTCTCCAGGAGATCTTCCTGACCCAGGATTCGAATTACGTCTCCTATGTCTTCTGCATTGCAGGTAAATTCTTTACTCAAGAGCCAGATATGCTTAGCACCAAAATAAATCCAAATCCCTGTGGCTCAAGCCTTCCTATCTAGACTTATGGCAGAACTTAGGGATCCAAAAGATGCTAGGGACTTGGAAAATGACAATTATTCATATAAAAGTTTGCTCTCCATTTCTGCAGGTTATGAACTTTAAACTGTAACATGATATCCTTCTCTAAGACCCTACATGATTAAAGGTGCTCTAACAAAACTAGAAAACACAACAGGTCCCTTCCCCTCACTCATTGTTGATTAATTCCTGATATAAATAGTTTTCCAAGTCCAAACTTAAATGATGAGACAAAGGAAGATGTTTGCCAAAGGAAGGAGTAATGCAAGAAGCTCTGACTACATAACTGCTGAATTAATCTTCATAACTGCCACAATTTTAGAGAATAAAAAACTCAGCTAAGCTCATTAAGAAATCATCTAACCTGATGATTGATGACAAAAGGGTGGGTGTTCAGTGAGTGAGTCACCTGACTCATGCATCTTGCAGCTTTTGCAGCTCATTAGGAGAGTTCATTGCTTTCAGAGAGAAAGCTGCTACACTCAAAAATAGCTACACACTCTGCATTGTGAGAGGAAGCAGGGTAAACTAAGCCTCTTGAAGTCCTTTAAATGTCAGTTTGCTCATCTGTAAAATGGAGATTAGTTTGTTTTGCAAAGCTATTGGGGGTTGTATTTGTGCCCTATTGCTGCTATAACAAATTACTACAAACTTAGTGGCTTAAAACAACAAAAACTTATTATCTACAGTTCTGTTAGTCAGAGTCCAAAATGAGTCAACAGGGCTGTATTCTTTCTGGAGTCTCTAGAGGGGTAATCCATTTTCCTGCTTTTTCTAGCTTCTACAGGCTACCCACATTCCTTAGCTCATGGCTACATCCCTCTAGCTTCTACTTCTGTGCTCATATTTTCTTTCTGATGCTGACCCTCCTGCCTCCCTCTTACAATGATCCTTGTGATTACAGTGGCCCACTGGATAATCCAGGATAATCTTCCCGTATGATGATCCTCAACTCAATCACATCTGTAAGTTCCCTTTTGCCATATAAGGCTTCTCTGGTGGCTCAGATGGTAAATAAAGAATCTGCCTGCAATGCAGGAGACCCAGATTCAGTTCCTGGGTCAAGAAGATCCCCTGGAGAAGGGAACAACTACCCACTCCAGGATTCTTGCCTAGAGAATTCCATGGACAGAGGGGCCTAGCAGACTACTGTCAATAGGATTGAAAAGAGTCAGACATGACTGAGCGACTAACACTTCTTTCACTTTTGTCATAGAAGGTAACACACTACAGAATTCAGGGATTAGAATAAAGACATCTTTGGAGGTAACCATTCTGCCTGCTATAGCTGTATAGAATGAGACAATATCTGTGATGATTCTTAGCATTGTGTTTCCACATAACAGATATTTGACCAATGCCTATTGGCAGTTTGTAAATTTTAATAATTCAGGTATTTGACTATGTATTCTGTCCAGCAATAAATTCTTAGATGTTCGGTATCTTTGTAGAGGCAGAATACAAAATGCTATGTTCTCATGGACCCCAACCTAATTTTATACATTTATGAGTGCTGTGTACTGACCTTAGAAAATACTTTCTATTCAAATGTAAAGGGCAGTCCTTGAATGGAACTATTTTAAACAGCAAATGGTAAACATGCAAGCTCTCTTTAGTTACTCTTTAAGGAAGACCAAGTGCAGCACACAAATTGTGGAGAATGTTGGGAGAATACTCAATGTCCTGAAGAATGCTACAGCTTGTAAAAAATAGTCAAAAGGCTATTTCATCAAAGTATGTTGTAAGAGATCACGATGTAGCAATACAGAGTTGGTGCCTCAGCAGAACTCCTCATTTGTATTTGGGTCAACAAGTTCCCAAGGCATTTTGGCATCCCTCTTTTGGGGAGGGTGCTGCTGGCCCCAGACTAGTGCAGTGCACTACTGAATCTGGGTGGGTGGGTGCATGCTAAGTCACTTTAGTTGTGTCTGACTCTTTGCGACCCCACCAGGCTCCTCTGTCCATGGGATTCTCCAGGCAAGAATACTGTATTGGGTTTGAGGTTGCTAAATGTTGAGTTTTTCTCCAGGTGCATGATGCACCAAGGACTTTAGTGACCAAACAAAACTCCCCATCACTTTGAAGAAGGTAGGCAGTAGCCTTTGGGAACCTCTCCAAAAGACTAATGAAGCNTGGGCTTCCCAGGTGTTGCTAGTGGTAAAAAAAAAAAAAAAAAAAAACCACCCGTGACATCCAGAGGAGCCAATCTTTGCAGTAATGAAGTTTATATTTGGTATGATGGACCATCCCTAGCATGTGCTCTTTCTGGTTAATAATAGTCTTTGTTTAGCAGTCACTCTCCTAGGAGGGAATACTAATGTAATACAGTTTTCTGCTGCTGGCTAGGACCTATTATCAATAGGTCATAAATAAACTACCACCACATAGGAAAGACAATATGATTATATATACTCCTACTACCCCCAATTACAGTTAAGAGCAACAATTATAAGGTTGTACTCCTACAGCTTCCCTAGGGAGAAAATGGGAGGAAAATGTTCCATTAGCTTAATGAAGAGAGCACAGCAGAGGCACAGTCAAATTTTCTCACTATTAGCACCTGTGGTGCTCCGCGAGGGACGCTGGAGATGCAGGGTAACAATTAAACCTTCTGACAATTAGCCCCGACAAAGTGCATTCCCTGAACCCAAAGGAGATATTTAAAGAATCATATTTACATTTTTCTTACCTCTTGCCTATGAAATCTGAGTGAGTCATTTTGCTTGTGGAAACAGAGGGAGTCAGGATGAAAGTTTAGTTCAGAGATGACTACCAAGTATTATTGGCAGGCTTGCTGGAGAATGCACATCAACTGAAAGGTGTCCTTTGTAAAACGGAAGGTTAGGAGAGATCAGAGCAGGGAAACATTCATTCACACCAACCCAAATTAGAGGAAAGATGGATTGATTCACTGTGAATAATTTAGCTCTCTTGTTATCTCTGCTAAGAAGATCATAAGGGTGGGGGTGGGGGAGGGATGCGACATGAGGTCTTTGATTACAACTGCCAAAGAAATCAGATCTGCCTCCTGGAAGGCATTGTATGAGAGAGAGAGTGCTTCCAAGACTGGCTGCCCTATGCTCTGACTCTGGTCCACACTTAACCTCACCAGTTTCCCTGTTCTGCAAGATGGAACTACCAAACCCCATAGGTTATTGGGAGGATTAAAAGAGAAAATGCCTAGGAATTAATCAATAGTAACTGCTTAACAGAGGTTTCCCTGATAGCTCAGTTGGTAAAGAATCTGCCTGCAATGCAGGAGACCGGGGTTTGATTCCTGGGTCAGGAAGGTCGCCTAGAGAAGGGATAGGCTACCCACTCCAGTATTCTTGGGCTTCCCTTGTGACTCAGCTGGTAAAGAATCCCGCTGCAATGCGGGAGACCTGGGTTCAATCCCTGGGTTGAGAAGATCCCCAGGGGAATGGAAAGGCTACCCACTCCAGTTTGTGGCCTGGAGAATTCCATGGACTGTATAGTACATGGGGTCTCAAAGAGCTGGATACGACTGAGCGATTTTCACTTTCTTTCAAGTGCTTAACAAATGTTATTTGTTATCATCTATGTTCAAAATCTGGAGAAGGAAATGGCAACCCTCTCCAGTATTCTTGCCTGGAGAATCCCATGGACAGAGGAACCTGGCAGGGTACGGTCTGTGGGGTCGCAAGAGTTAGATACGACTTAGTGACTAAACTACTACTACTAAAATTTACATTGGAGAAGGAAATGGCAACCCACTCCAATGTTTCTGCCTGGAGAATTCCATGGACTGGGGAGCCTGGTGGACTGCAGTCCATGGGGTCACAGAGAGTTGGATATGACTGAGTGACTAACACACACACACACACACACACACATGTTCAGAATCAGCCTAAACATTATGCATTTGGGTATGGTAAGAGTAAATATTTGTGTGGTAATGAATACTGAAAATTTCCTACTAGAGACCAAAATTTAAACATAACTTGGGTGGTAGACCGTGAACAGTTCACTTGGTTTCCTCTCAATTTAAGGAGAATAAAATGATATTTTTGCAATCTGGAGTTGTGACTGAACTGCTCTTTAAGCTATTCATAAAAATATGAATGTCTTCAGTTGTGTCCGACTCTTTGCAACCCCACGTACCTCTCTGTCCATGGAATTTTCCAGGCAAGAACATGGAAGTGGGTTTCCATTTCCTGCTCCAGGGGATCTTCCAGATCCAGGGATCGAACCTGTGTCTCCTGCATTAGCAGGTGAATTCTTTACCACTGTGCCACCTGGGAAGCCCCCAAAGACATAGATAAATAGAGGCAAATAATGCCTCCCCCCCACGAAACCTGATTATTCAGAGTACAAGGGATTTTTGCATGGTCCACCCCCTCTACCCAAAGAAGCAGAATACTGACCTTGATCACACCGGTCCACAGCTGCTGTGCTTCTTACTGCCCCACAGAGTTGCTGTTGAAAAATATCCACACATCTGCAAAGAGGCATCTCTGAGTAGGACAAAGCCCATCTTAGACGAAGGCTAACTCCTCTTCTTTGAAGCTGGCTTTGATCAGGATATGCCTATTTCTGATTTACACCCTGAGTCCTGCAGTGTACTAGTCAGCCTCAGCAACTCTGGGTCAGGACTGGTTCAACCCATGACCCTTTCTCCCCACCCTTCCCTGGATTTGACACATCCAGGAATTGGGCAACTTCTCAGTTTAAACCCTTGAAATACCCTCAGAGTGGCCTCCTGGATTACAAATTTCCAAACTCTGACTTTCAATAATAGTTATTGAGAAAAAGTTGAAAAGAAATAGGGTGAGTCCTGTAGCAGACTGTACCTTATTGAAGAATAATATTGCCTAGGACGGTGTTTCAAGCATTACTATCCTTAGTGTCTGTGGACCTTGCTCCTATTTCAGAAGTTAGTTTGTGGCTGCAATTAGGCTTAAGGTGTTTGGTGACGTTATCACAATTGTTTTCAAATCATTTAGTTTGTATCAAGGTACTGAGTTTGAGAAAAAGTACTTCTCAATGACACCTTGAGCAGCCCTTGTGACCAGCGTGATGACTTCCTTTCCTGAATCGTGTGGCTGCTACTTTTCACGATACTTGCTGCTCTTTTCCCAATTACCAGAAGCTCACTCTTGTCCCTGCCACGAGCACCCTCAGTTTCTGTGGCCATTGTGCATTATGTTGTAAGCATTATAGCCCTGGACCTCTGCACCCTTCTTCCTTCCCCCCCTTTTTTTAAAAAAAAAAATTATTTATTTTAATTAATTTCTTTGAATGCACTGGGTCTTAGCTGCAGCACTCAGGGATCTTTGATCTTCATTGGGGCATCTTTAGTTGCGGCATGTGAACTCTAAGTTGCAGCATGAAGGATATAGGCCCCTGACCAGGGCTTGAACCCAGGCCCTCTGCAATGGGAGTGCAAAGTCTTAGCCACTAGACCACCAGAGAAGTCCTCCTACCCCCTTGTTTTAATTTCGAAGAATTTATCGCTACTAACAGACTCCATGTTTTACCTATTGTTATGACTTAGCTAACATTTGTTAAGCAGGGGGCCATGAGGGGCTCAGTGAAAACCACCAGTGAAATAGAGAAGCTTATTACTCACAGGTCCTGGGGAAGGAACATGACCCACGGGGAGGGTCCATGAGAAGTCGAGTCAGGGTGTGGGCAGAGAGAGTGTGGCAGGACCCAGGGCGCGTCTTAATAAGGTCCTCAGGTGGGCTGCTTTGACACTCTCAGGTGAAGGCTGAATTAGTCAGTTCAAACCAAAAACTTGCTGTGGTTATTGTTGAGTTGAAATAGACTACATTAAAGTTTTAAATGAGCACATTTTGATAACCTATCTTTTAATAAACATTGTACCCTGCATGTAAATTAATTTGGACAACTCTTGATTACACTGTTGGCCCCACATGTGGAGCTGGCTGCAGCCATTCCTTTTCCAGAGTAATAACAATTGAGGATTGCTGAAGCTGCCTTCAAAAGCAGTTCTCTGTCTAAGCTTTGCAGCACTACATAATCCTGTGTTTAAGCAGTAATTTTTTTTAAGCAGTAATTTTTTTGAAATTAATAGGTTTGCACAGTGACTGGAAAGATGAAGAAATAGAACCTGAGTTGCTTCGATTCAGTCTTTCTGGGCAGCTTCTATTACAATAGTAGGACGGCATGCTAACTCTGAGGACTGGTATCATGTTTGAGAAGTGTAAATTTTGTTTCACACATCAAATCTTTTACTAATTAGAATAATATTTTCATGTTAATATTTGTTTTAAAATAAGAATACTGAGATAATAGAATGTTACATCAGTGGTAAGATTTAGTTGTCTCAACTGTACCTTTTTAAATATAAAATTAATAAATATTAATTAATTAATTAATATTAAATTAAACTTCACTTATCAATTACTGTAATGTTATTATTTGTGTATCAGACTGATAAGTAGGTATAAATTCGACCCCCTTTAAAAATACATTAATGAAATTTAAAAGTAAGGACATTTTAATCTATTCTGTAATAAATGTTTCATTTTGTATTTTTATGATTATTATTATATACATGGCATATAGATACATATATGAGATACACACATATGTACATATATATTCAATGAAAGACAATTTTTACTATCTGCACCCCTTTTTTGGCCATCATTCTTCTCCCTTTGATCTTGCAGAAAATAATTTTGTCATTTGGTAGTGAGAAGTGTTTAAAAATGATCCACTCCATATATTAAATATTCCAGATACGCCACAAATATTCACACCTGACATTACACTGAGATCTTCTACTGGCATCTCTAGTAACAAATAGTAACTTTGCAAATAATACTTTGTCCTTTGGTTAATTTTTCTAGTGATTACTAAGCCAATGGGCTATATAACAATTTGAGTTCCATTTTTAACCCCATCAAAAGATAAGAACTCTTATTATTGTAATTACTTTGTCTTTACTGGTTAAATTAACATTCAGCTATTGGGGTTGCTGTGCAATATACGATATGATTTTACCTACTGTGTGTTCAAAGTAGTCTTGTCACAGTAACAGCATGCTAGCTTGAAAAGCCTTATAGCAAATAGGTAAATACACGTCTTTTGTGAATTAAAAGGGAGTAATTATGTCAGCCTTCCTGCATTTGTGGGTGAATAGCTAAAAATAATTGAAGTAAAAGTGTCAGGAAATATTTAACCTTAAATACAAGTAGTCAAAAGCTTGTCATAAAAAATGAGAATGACCTATCAAACATAATTTTTTAGTTTCTCTTGATAGAGTAGCCACATTAGAATATGAAAACACATGCACAAATACTCTTTTTTTATTTTTCTTTCATTTTAAGCAGTCCCAGTCCCTTACACTACAGGTACAATTGCTGTAATTTTCCTGTCAAAATAGGGCTTTGCTATGAAAGACCCCCAAATTATTATTTTTATTTTAAAAATTTATCTTTATGCTTTATACAAACAGAACCCAAGTAAATCCTGATACTGAAAATATTTTGGCTTGCTAGAAGTAGACAGGATTACGCTGTACAGGGTGTGCTTATTATCGAGACTCGTTTAAAAACAAACACACTAGATTTTGCAATTGAGCTTCAAAGTAGTCTTTGGTTAACTACACACTTACTCCATGATTCTGTCTTTGTGCCAGATTTTCCTGAGAATTCCTTTTATTTTTTCATGAATAGCCTTTAAACCGTGTGGCATATTCTCCCAAATATTTGATTTCTTAAATTTAAGCCCCATGACTATAAGATGATTGATTAAGCCAGATAAAATGGTTTTTGTATTTAATACAAAGCAACAATCATAAGGTCCATTTTCCGTCTGCAGCTTTTAAATTAGCTTTGAAGGCTTTTGCAAAGAAATTCCTCCAAATATTTTTCTCTTTCTGATAGCTTCACTAGAATCACCTATAGAGAAGACTAATCTAAAAGACAACATGTTTCACTTATCAATTACTGTAATGTTATTATTTGTGTATCAGACTGATAAGTAGGTATAAATTCGACCCCCTTTAAAAATACATTAATGAAATTTAAAAGTAAGGACATTTTAATCTATTCTGTAATAAATGTTTCATTTTGTATTTTTATGATTATTATTATATACATGGCATATAGATACATATATGAGATACACACATATGTACATATATATTCAATGAAAGACAATTTTTACTATCTGCACCCCTTTTTTGGCCATCATTCTTCTCCCTTTGATCTTGCAGAAAATAATTTTGTCATTTGGTAGTGAGAAGTGTTAAAAAATGATCCACTCCATATATTAAATATTCCAGATATGCCACAAATATTCACACCTGACATTACACTGAGATCTTCTACTGGCATCTCTAGTAACAAATAGTAACTTTGCAAATAATACTTTGTCCTTTGGTTAATTTTTCTAGTGATTACTAAGCCAATGGGCTATATAACAATTTGAGTTCCATTTTTAACCCCATCAAAAGATAAGAACTCTTATTATTGTAATTACTTTGTCTTTACTGGTTAAATTAACATTCAGCTATTGGGGTTGCTGTGCAATATACGATATGATTTTACCTACTGTGTGTTCAAAGTAGTCTTGTCACAGTAACAGCATGCTAGCTTGAAAAGCCTTATAGCAAATAGGTAAATACACGTCTTTTGTGAATTAAAAGGGAGTAATTATGTCAGCCTTCCTGCATTTGTGGGTGAATAGCTAAAAATAATTGAAGTAAAAGTGTCAGGAAATATTTAACCTTAAATACAAGTAGTCAAAAGCTTGTCATAAAAAATGAGAATGACCTATCAAACATAATTTTTTAGTTTCTCTTGATAGAGTAGCCACATTAGAATATGAAAACACATGCACAAATACTCTTTTTTTATTTTTCTTTCATTTTAAGCAGTCCCAGTCCCTTACACTACAGGTACAATTGCTGTAATTTTCCTGTCAAAATAGGGCTTTGCTATGAAAGACCCCCAAATTATTATTTTTATTTTAAAAATTTATCTTTATGCTTTATACAAACAGAACCCAAGTAAATCCTGATACTGAAAATATTTTGGCTTGCTAGAAGTAGACAGGATTACGCTGTACAGGGTGTGCTTATTATCGAGACTCGTTTAAAAACAAACACACTAGATTTTGCAATTGAGCTTCAAAGTAGTCTTTGGTTAACTACACACTTACTCCATGATTCTGTCTTTGTGCCAGATTTTCCTGAGAATTCCTTTTATTTTTTCATGAATAGCCTTTAAACCGTGTGGCATATTCTCCCAAATATTTGATTTCTTAAATTTAAGCCCCATGACTATAAGATGATTGATTAAGCCAGATAAAATGGTTTTTGTATTTAATACAAAGCAACAATCATAAGGTCCATTTTCCGTCTGCAGCTTTTAAATTAGCTTTGAAGGCTTTTGCAAAGAAATTCCTCCAAATATTTTTCTCTTTCTGATAGCTTCACTAGAATCACCTATAGAGAAGACTAATCTAAAAGACAACATGTATATATTTGAATACTTGGAACTGGTGTGTTATTGATGATGCAAGTCCCATTTTTAAAAGATAGCCAAATGGAT